TATATATATATATATATATATATATATATATATATATATATGTATGTATGTATATTATACTATTACTACTATATTTATTTATTTATATTTCATTTATTTCTACACTAGCAGAAAAGTCTGAACTTGCCTCTGAAGTTTTGGTGAGTTCTAAGTCAGGTCGTCCATGCCTAAAACCTTACAATATAGCTAAAATAAAATAAAAATCTGAAAAAAAGACGGGCAAAATCTAAAAAGATGTATAAATGGCATACCCATTTATCGAGGCCAGGTAGGTTTAGACAGCTTTTAGGATGTAAATTAAATAAAAAGGAAGCTGTTATTTTATTATTTACTCGGGTAATAAAAATAAAATTTTGTTTGTTAGTCTGCAGGAATAAAATGTAGATTCATATTGTTTTCATCTTATTTTTACTTACCATTAAAAAAAGTCCAGAATTAGTTCATGTTCTCCACCAGATGTTAATGTTCCATCCGCTAGAGGGAGCCAGTACTCAGTTTCTGTGTCCACACTGTGGGAAACAGATTAGTCCCACAGACTATTCATGTTAGAAAGGTCTTGTCTTTAAATCTCTATTAAATAGATGCCTTTTCCTGTGTTTGTTATCTCTATCACTTCATGCAGGAGTGTCCTTGTTGGTGCTTGCACCTCGGTGACTTACTTTGATTTATGTGTACATAACGCTGATTTATGCATTTGTGCGCATGTGTCTGCAGCCTACAGCCTCTGCATGCGCTCACAACACAGATGAAACCAGTTGGTCGACATTCCTAACTGTTGCACAAACCTGCCTTTTACAAGCGTCAAAGATGATGTAGAGCTACCCTGCTGCCACTAGATGGCGGTATTTATTTAAAGGACGTGCCTCATTTGGACCGTGAGAACCAGAAAGGGAAAAATCCATGTCACTAAGAACATTTTGGGGCATTTGGAAGAGATATCAGCTCAGCACAGCTGCAAATTGAATAATATTACATTGTTAGTCTTCTGTATTGTCACTGAATAGGTGTTCTTTTTTGGGAATAGCTATAATCGACTCTCAGCATGGACGCCCACTAGTACTTTACTCCAAAACAACTGACAATAATCCTGCTGTGTTGTGGAGACAGATCCAGACTCCAAGTAAAAACTGTCAGCGACTGCACGCCAAAATCTCTGCACCGCCGAGAGCAATCTGATCAAGTTTTTATTGCTACTGTTGACTGAGTCAGGCCTCTCCCATTGAAACCAGAGCTTGCACTGGATATGTTGTGTGCTTGTATGGAGAGGGCAGAGTGTGGAGGAGACACTGAATATGTCTTTCTTTTTTTACACAATGTGTCTTTGTAAGTCCTTGGTGTTGCGTCGGAGAGAAAAATTTGGCCCTTTGCTGGACAGAGAGAAAAGGACAGTGAAAGAAGTAGGAAAGATGAGAGGATGGGAGGTTTTTCT